CTCGGCATATGAAGAGATAGTGTGGTCAGCACTATGCCCAGCCGCCTTTGCGTGTAACGGCCGGTAAAACCCTAACTGCTCCACTGTCCACTCATATCGAAAATTTATTTCAGTCATTAAGTTGAGGTAGTTTGGGCTTTTAAATAGAGCTGAAATAAATTTGATATTAAAGAAAAATAAAATTATAAAAATTTTAAGCAACCGGAATGTTATGTTGAGTACAACGAGACACATCATATCAAATATTCTTCCCTTTCAAACATCTATATCTATAGCAGTCCTCCCACAGATTTTTTTTTAAATTTATTTTAAATATTTAAAATAGTAATAATAATTTATTCGGTGGTTTAAAACAGTTTCACAGTTTCAAAGACATAAACATATCTATATATATAATTCTCTTCTTCGAGCCGTTAGAAAACAAGCTGCAAACGCTCTCCCTACCTCCCCACCCCTACATGGTTTTAGTGAGCTGTGTTCACTCTAAATGTTTACAAGCAGGGCCAACGATTTTAAACGTAGGGGGGGGGGGGGAGGGGGGGAGGGAAGGAAGGGGGGGGGGGTTATGGTCCTTAACGAGCTACTTATAGTGTTTTAAAGAAATATTTTCAGTGTCAGCGTTGGTACTGTCGAATTCACAAATTATGAATTATTGAAAATTAGAAACAACTTAATAGCGGCGTATGTTATGCCGCGGGCCGGCTCGTAGTAATTAAATGAAGAACGTAAAATGGTAAAAGATCTAGACAAAAATGGATGTGCAACTCGGATTCTTTTGACTGCTTAGTTTTCTCTGCTCCATCCTCAGCTGCGAAGTTAAGGGTTGACATTGTAGCTACACACGCCCAGAAACAAAAACGACCGTCGGGAAAAGGATCTCTTTAATACTCAAACTGATCTATCATACCAAAATTTTCCATGACACAAAATTGACCTCCGGCGATGAGCTTACGCTGCCCTTAAAATTTATGAAATATATTTAATTAACATTTTTTTTTTTTTTATAATTAATTCTTTATTGGCTAATTCTAAATATCATATCAACTTGGCTTCTGTGATTTTCCCTTTTTTTTACTCTTGTCTTTTTTAGCTACATCTGACTTCAATTTGGTCTCTTCAGAAGTTTGTTTTGTTTCGGTGGAGCTGATCCTTGCTTTTTTATTATCCACAAAACTCCAGGAAGAAGAGTTGGCATCACCCTTAACAATTGTGTTTTTTCAGTTTGACAGATGAGAAATCGCAATAGAAAGGTAAGTTTCATTGATCTATGAACAGGTTGATTCAAAAAGCTAATAGTTATCGTTTTAAATGATAAATCTAAAAATTATTTAAAAAACTCAAAAAAATTATTTAAAAAAATACTTAAGTTCTCCATGGCTTTGTTTTAAAGATTTATATATTTTGATTTATTATTTTAGTTTTTGAACGTTACCTATATGTCTGTATTTTTTACATAATTTGTGAGCAAACTTATAGCTTGTCTCCCATTTTTAATATATAATTAGCAGTGGGGAGTAACTTACAGAAATTAATACTGTTCTTTCAATGAGTCTAATGTATAAAACAATGTTGCGATACACTGTATTTATTTTTAGAGCACGCTTCCATGTTTGGTAATCCCTGTTCCTGGCTGTTAAGAATTTGTAATAGAAAAACCTTATCTTAGTTTATTTCAGCGGCGTAACTAGGGGAGGGTGGGTGGGGCGGCAGCCCGGGTGCCGACCCTAAGGGGTGGGTGGGGAAGGTCTTGAAAAAAAAAAGTTAATTTGAATCTAGGGTATTGAATTATATACACAGTCAAATTTAAGAAAGTAAAGGCTACAAGGGTTTATACACTGATAAAATTATTGTCCACATCAATTGTGTTGCTCCTAGATAAAAACCTATACGTGATAGTGACTGATATAAAGTACCACCAACCTTTCCGACTGAGGAGGGGGGGGGGGGAGGAGGCGCTTTTCACCAACGTGAATACCTGTATAAAAATAGAATGAGTGAGGGTCGCAAAATGATAGTTCGCCCCGGCTCTGGAATGGGTCGTTACGCCTCTGGTTTTATCGTTGCGACACAATGACGTTTCTTTTAAAATATATTTTACGAGCTGACCCGCCACGTAGCATACGCCGCTATCTAGTTGTTTTATTTTCTACTTATCAACAATTCATAATTTGTGAATTCGACACTACCCCACCCCCTTCCTCCCCCACCCCACACCGCCCAGTGAAAGCAGCCGTTTACAGACGACAATGAAAATATCACTATTATCTCCCCTTAGTTTCAAATACTTATTCGGACCGGCTCTAATATTGTAAACATTCGGGGTGAAACCAGAGCCCCCCCCCCCGAACGAGATGGATTTTATATAGTAAACATACACTTTTACTAGTGTCCGCCCCCCCCCCCACCCTTCTCCCCCCCCCCCCCCGAAAAATGTAGACCGCCCCCCCCCCCTCGAAAATTTCAAAAGCCCCCCCCCCCCTTCCCCACGGAGAAAAAAGTCTGGAAGAAACACTGGGTGAAGCACAGCTCACCTGACAAGTGGGGATGAAGCTGGTGGCTAAGCTGCGTGGTGTTTTCTATGGTCTACATGAAGAGAATTATATATATAGATGTAAGTAGGCTCTTTACATTCTATTATAGAGAGGTATAGGGCAGGGGTCGGCAACCTGCGGCTCGCGAGCCGCATGCGGCTCTTTTGATGACAAGGTGCGGCTCTCCAGTTCCATGCACAAATATTACTAATTATTTTATTTTATTTTCAAAACTCATAAAAAATAGTATACTGTAAAAAAAAACCCACTTTAACAAACAGAATAAAAACACTCATCATTGAACAATGCGAGTAGGTGAGTTGTAAAGGACTATTCCATGTTTGCCACAGCCCAAGTGCAAACGTTTTTGAATATCTAAATGGGGAATGTTATTTAACACACAATGCATTCATCTACATTTCAGTATGCATTTATTTCACCCGAGTAACGTAGTATTGTAGTTATTAGCTTCCTACGATACTGGAGGGTGGGGTACGAGTATGGTGGAAGATAAGTCCGGTGTAAAACGAAGGACAGAAGTGACCGATAAGGTTATCAAACCGATACTCAAGCCAGTTATTCCGGGTTTGTCGTGTTGAGGGCTGCCTGGCTATGGGAGACACTTCCTGAGCCAGTGGTGTCCGTAAAGAAAAAAAGTTATTGGCTTCTAAAGTGGATTGGGATTGTCGTATAGTTATATTATTTGATAACTAACTTAATCATAGCAGAGCTAGCTAAAACACTTTTTGTGCGAAACATCTGTATGTTTTTATATGAATCAATATTAGTTCATATTAAACGCTATTTATTTCAAATAAAAAAGCAAATTTATTTATCTAATCCTTATCAAATACCAAAATATTGGGAAAATAATGCTAGTGGCTATTTAAAAACTGGGAAATGTTATAACTTGCAACTTTTGGCTCTTCCGTCTCAAAAGGTTGCCGACCCCTGGTATAGGGGCCTGTCGCATATGATTACTGTTTAGAACTATGCATATATTAAACAAAGGATTGCTTTGGATAGCTATCGTGCAGACGCGAAGTTACCTTTGTTAGCTTTAGCCGACGGCAGTTATCCATTCAATAATTTTTTTGATTACTAATTACATTATTCTGGCGAATCCAGTGTATGTTTTTGTATGAATAAATATTGTTTCATATTTAAAACAATTTATTTTAAACAACAAATCAAATTTATTCACCTAATCCTAATCACATTATATATATATATATATATATATATATATATATATATATATATATATATATATATATATATATATATATATGTATGTATGTATAATCGTAAACAAGTATACTATTGACATAAAAATGTTAGTGGCACTTTAAAAACCGGGTAATGATGATAATTTTAACTTTTGGCTCTTTCGTCTCAGAAGGTTGCCGACCCCTGGTCTAGTTAAGTCAACTACTATTTATTTAGCGGCCGGTTTTATCAGAGTACAGTTGAATATCGAGAATGCAACGATTATTAGAAAATCGGCTTTTAAACTTCAGAGAGAACAAAATGAAATATAGGTTTCTTGCATTTATAGATTGATTAATATTTCAAGCTAACAGTTGTCTATTTAAGCTATGAATCTAGCATTTATTCAAAATATCAATTGTTCGTAAATTTTATAATACATTTTCATAATCGTATTTAGTTAAATAGGAATATATGGTTTACGTTGTTTATTTTTGAGTGACAGATTTCCAAAAGATATAAAACATAAAATTCAAAGCCAAGATATAACTCGTCTCCCTTTACTGTCTTCTATATTGATAAATGGGAAGTAACCAAAAGAAAAATAAGAAAAGATTAATAACTTAAATTCTTAACAGTTCGTTGCGTCTTAACTTATTTAACAATGTTGTGATATATTTTATTATTTTTAAAAGACAGTAAACCTCTGATCTTTCATTGTTTATTCTAGTAGTGAAAAATTTTACTTAAAAGATAATATATAATATATAAAGAGGTAATTTGAGCACCATCTCTCCACATATACCACAAAATAACAAAAAAATATGTTTCAAATAAACGATATTAACATCCAGGGCCGTAGCGAGGGGGGGGGGGTGCGGACCGCACCGGGTGACACCATTTAGGGGGGTGACACCAAGGCAAAAAATAGCAAATAATATAGAGAAAAACTTGAGGGGGGGGGGGGGGAGTGCAAATCGAAAATGAAGGGGGGGGGGGTGCAAATCGAAAGTTTGAGGGGGGGGGTGCAAATTGAAAACTTGAAAGTTTGTCCCCGGGAAGGGTCGCAACGCCTCTGGGGGGACGACACCATTAAGTGCCGCACTGGGTGACACCCGACCTCGCTACGCCACTGTTAACATCTTAATATTAAGTCACCACACACAGAGAAAGTCTAACATTACTAACAAGAAAAACAAACATAAAACAGGTTTAATTTTTTCATTTATTTCTAAAATAAAGCGATGTTGAAAACATCGTTATAAAAATCACACAATGTATATAACTATATGAACATAAAAATAAAATCCTGAGTGATTCAGGGGAATAGAGGAAGAGAAAAAAGTCAAATAATATATATAGCTGTAAAGTCCTCAAAAGTCATTCTACACCTTGCATTTCTCCTGGGCCAAACAAAGAACGGCATACGGACATTTCCTTTATTATTTGAATTCTTACAAGTATAGATGTAAACCCTTCCGTCATATATTGGAATTTTAGCCAGCGTTAATACGAACTGATCTTTAAAATAATTGTATTCTCGCATGAGCGAATACGAATTGATACTTTAAAATATCTGCACCTATACGTCCTGTTGTTTTGGTTTTATAAAAATAAATTAGTTATAAGCAGTTTTTTTTGTATCATCCCAGTTCCCAGTCAGAATTTTCATATTTTTTTTTACTTTACTTAACATGTGACGTCATCTCATCCTGCGCATGCGCCATCACGTTGAGCTGCTGTCGTCTGACTTGGGATGTTGCACCTCTTGACTGTTGGATTTACGGGTGAACGCTTTTCTCTTCTGCTGCGCGGGTTTCTCCGCCTTTTTCGCCTTGGTATTTTTAACCGCCGTCTGCTTCCGTGCGGCCGGCACCGGTTTCTGCCGGCTCACGTCGGCCGCGCTGGTTTTTTTGCTTCCCGCCAAGGAGGCGCCGGTGACGACACGTCCGGCTTTCACGGCCTTGCTGGCGTCGTACACCCGGATGACCTTGACCTCCTTCTCCGTCACGGGGGTCCGGGCTGAGGAAAGGTACTCGTCGCTCCTGGCCACGTACGGGCCAACGAGTTGGTCGGGGGCCATCTCCGATGTGAAAAAATCTAAACCGCTCCACTGGGGTGTGGGGACTTTACGACACAGGATAAAATTCATCACTTGAACTGTCCGCCCCTTGAACTCGCGGTAAAAAAGAATCTAAAAAGGATGGGGAAAAAATGGGAATTAAAAGTTAGGTTAATTATACAGTGGTTTAATTATTAATTTTTTGTTAAGTGTAAAAACGCTACGCCCGAAGAAATAAATAAATAATAAAAAAAAAAAAAACGGGTGTAGTAAATAACTTTTGTATATCATATTTTAATATATTAGATGAAACGGTTGGAAGCTTAGTTTTTAGATTTAACTAAAACTGTTTGAAGCAAGGTTCTCCAATGTTTCTAACACCAGTGTCCTGATGTGTGTCAAGTGTCTTCACACACCAAGTTAACGAGGCTCTCAACACAGGCCCAGAAATGTGTTGGTTAAAGATGGCTGACGTCACGTTTTATTGTACTTGGTTGTATTTCAATGGGGGTACTTAGTGGATGTCAGGTGTATCTCAATGGGACTGTCAACATAGAGGGTACACCTCTTTAGGCCGGAGTGATGGGTTATCGTTGTGGTTATGGAGAGGTTTAAAAGACGATACTCAAGGTTACGGAAAAAGATAACGTGATCGTCACCTGCAGTGTTTCGTTCAGACATTTTTTTCTCCATGGACGGGGGGGGGGGGGGGGGGAACTGGTTAAAAGTATATATTTTCTTTATACATTATGAATATGCCGAGATCACAGAAACAGGTGAACTCTACTACTCTACTTCATATGCCCCATGGACTTGTCATGTTCAAAAAAGGGAAATTTACTTAAACATATATATTTTTCTTCTTTTTCGTCAGAAGAGATGCCTGAAAGAAACTCTAATCGTCTTATTAGTTTAGTAGTTACCCTTTCGTGTGTAAAAAAGTAAATTACAAAACGTAACTAGTATACTTATAAGACAGTGAGACACTCGTGTATAGAGTGAGTTGGCCGCAACAAAAGGAACACAGCCAAACAGAGGCGTAGCGACTCTTCCCGGCGCCCGGGGACAAACTTTCAATTTGGCGCCCCATCCCCCATTTATTTTTTACATATATTATATTTTTATATTTGTAATGCAAAACTGCAGCTAGAATGAGCTTTCAATATTTTTTTCAACCCATTTTGGCGCCCCTAGGGTCGGCGCCCGGGGACATATGTACCCCCCCCCCTTGCTACGCCTCTACTGCCAAAGGTGCAGATGTTCGGCTAGAGGACACGACTTTTTAAAAATTCAAATCAACAGAAAATAAAATTCACATTGATTAATCAAACCCATACATCACTGCATGGGAAGTATACATCAAATAAAACTATTTTAAGTTGAAAATCAGTGAATCTTCACAACAAGAACAAGAACTAAAGGCTTGCAAAGTCTCAAGTTCGGCTCAGGAACTTGTGCCCGTACGACGTCCCTGAGTCCACCCAGCTCTAAGTTAAGACTTGGCAACAAATCGCCCAAATTATCTCCTTATGTCGAGTTCACAGAAAGAGGCCAGCTCTACTTCATCTGCACCAATAGACTTTCAGGGACGAAAAGGTGATTCTACCATAGCTAGCATAGCCTGTCTTGCTCACTTCTTTCATAACACAATTGAGGGTAAACACGGTTTAAATGTCCTACTTATTTGCATGAACGTTTGTTACTTTACTTGATAAATATACTCTCCAAACCCTATGAGAAAATACAATTTAAAAAAAAAAACGACTCAAGTGTAACTTTACTTTTGTTGAGGGACTATTTATATGAAGAGAATAAACATGCTGAGATTTTGTTTTTTTTTATGCAAAGAATAATTTTTAAAAACTTATACCAAGGGATGTAACCGCTTAATTACCACATACAACCGCATTAACTTGATTATTTCCCTTTGCTTAAAACAACTTTAAAACAGTGCCTCTTGGATAGTGCTAAAATTATGTGAATTTTTATGTCGAATCGAGACGGTCGTGAATAGTCTCGAAATGGTGTAGGTCTAACATACGCAGAAAACATATCACCCTTTCCTTACCCTGGTGACAGAACGTTACCCTTACCCCAGTCTACGGAAAACATGCCCCCCCCCCCTTACCTTAGTCCACAGAAAACATGTCCCCCTTACCTCAGTCGACAGAAGTACTGGAACCACCAAGAGACTGAAGCTGTAGTACACCATCCACACTATGGTCTCGGCGTCGCTCCGGCTCAGCCGTGCGTAGGCGTTGTACTGAGCTGAATATGCCGTGTCTTCCGGCACTGGGGTGGGGGTGGTCGAGTTGTCAGTGCCGGTCCTGTTGGCCAGCACCTGCAAGTCTTTCAGTGACTTCTGCTCCCTCTGTTCCCTGAGTTCAAGTCTCGATTTTATGACTGGAAAAATATAAAACACAACAATCAATCCGTCTGCAGTCAGTTAACTTGACTTGATCGTCTTTACACCTTGTGAAGCATAGGGTCTCAACCATAACCTTCCATTTTGTCTGATCTGCGGCTGTTAATTTTACAAACTCCGAAGACCAGAGGCATAGCAACCTTTCCCGGCGCCCGGGGACAAGCTTTCAATTTGGCACCCCCCCCCCATCCCATCCCGGGGACAAACTTTCAATGTGGCGCCCCCCCCCCCCCATATATTTTTTTTTACATTTATAATGCAAAACTGCAGCTGAAAGTAGCTTTTAAATTATTTTTTCAACCCACTTTGGCGCCCCCTAGGGTCGGCGCCCGGTGACATATGTACACCCCCCCCCCCCATCGCTACGCCTCTGCCCAAGACATCCCGGCTGTCTTTAGTTCTTCAAGAAGACAGTGAGTAAACGGATTACATAATTTTTTAAAAAAAATGACTTTTTAAAAAACTGTGCTTAAAATTGATTTAAAACTTGTCGGTCAAAAATATGATAAAGTGTTTACAAAAAAAAATATGCTGTTAGAAAGATGCATTTCTTTTCTATTCTGAAAACGGAAAATTGAGAATAAAGGAGTTTTATTTTTTTCAACTCGGCGACGGATTTAAAATTCGGGACAGTGCGTGATGGTAACTAGTGTTCCAGACTACGAACACCAGTGGCGTAGCCATGATCGTCTCAAGGGGGGGTTCCAATTTTTACCCGGGGACAAACTTTCGATTTGCACCCCCGCCCTCAAACTTTCGATTTGCACCCCTCCCTCAAACTTTCGATTTGCACCCCCCCCCTCATACTTTTTATATATACCGAGGGGTCTATGTGGGGGTTATGACCCCCCCCCCCCCCTAACCCCCCCTGCCTACGCCACTGACGAACACACAAAGGTAATAATAGGATAACGTTGACTGGCTATGACTTCCCGGGAAACGAACACCTCATGCTACAAATGCACCAGCTTACAAACGCTACTCTTTCACACACCCCGACTTACGAACAACTGGCTTTAATAATACCTCGATGTACGAATTTCGTATTACAAAAATCTCACTTAATGAATACCTCCTTCTACGTAACAAACCAGAGTTCACTATGAACGCTCCAGACTTCGAACACTCTTGTTTACGAACATTCCAGGTCATGAACAATCAGAGCTACGAACATTCATGACTACGATCACTGCGGCATACATACACTCCCCTTTCGTAACTAGAGTTGCCGGTTAGCTTAGTATTACAAAAAAATCACTTTAAAAATGTAACAATATCATAAAGAACAAATTCTTACACGGGCCAACACAAATAAAGAATGTAACAATAAAGAACAAATTCTTACATGGGTTAACACAAATAAAATATGTAACAACATCATAAAGAACAAATTCTTACATGGACCAACACAAATAAAAACCCCTACAGGGCCACACATGAGCACAAACAGCAAACCCAACCACGTGAGGGTTTTGATGAACTTGAAGTGGAGGGTTGCCTTGATCTCGATGAAGAGGGCGTTGTAGTGGTTGAGCGCCTCCACGCCCGACCTGAGCACCAGCCGGAAGCGCCCCACCTGCACCATCAGGAACATCAGGGAGAAGATGACGGCGACGCAGGGGAGAAGGGAGAAACCAATGGCCACCAGCTTGTACCACCTGTGATCTAGAGAGAGAGAAATGTTTAGCTAGTTTGGACCACTTGTGATCTATAGCGAGAGAAATGTTTGGATTTCTCGTGATCTATAGAGAGAGAAATGTTTAACTAGTTTGGATCACTTGATATCTATAGAGAGATAAATGTTTGTACCACATGTGATCTATATAGAGAGAAATATTTGTACCACACGTGATCTAGAGAGAGAGAAATGTTTAGATAGTTTGGACCACTTGTGATCTATAGAGAGAGAAATGTTTGTACCACATGTGATCTATAGAGATAAAAATGTGTAACTAGTTTGGATCACTTGATATCTATAGAGAGATAAATGTTTGGACCACATGTGATCTATATAGAGAGAAATATTTGTACCACACGTGATCTAGAGAGAGAGAAATGTTTAGATAGTTTGGACCACTTGTGATCTATAGAGAGAGAAATGTTTGTACCACATGTGATCTATAGAGATAAAAATGTTTAACAAGTTTGGATCACTTGATATCTATAGAGAGATAAATGTTTGGACCACATAAGATCTATAGAGAGAGAAATATTTGTACCACATGTGATCTATAGAGATAAAAATGTTTAACTAGTTTGGACCACTTGTGATCTACGTGTGATCTACACAGTGTTTCTTCGAGAAATTTTCTGGGGGGGGGGGGGGGAATTAAAATTTCTTTCTTACGGCGAAACCCTCCCGAAGAGATGCCTGGAAGAAACTCAGGATCTAAACAAAGAGAAATGATTAACTAGTTTGGACCACTTGTGATCTATAGAGGGAGAAATGTTTGTACCACAAGTGATCTATAAAAAGAGAAATGTTTTACTAGTTTGGACCACTTGTGATCTATAGAGAGAGAAATGTTGGGACCACAAGTTATCTATATAGAAAAAATGTTTTACTAGTTTGGATCTATAGAGAGAGAAATGTTTGTACCACATGTGATCTATAAAGAGAGAAATGTTTGGGACCACGTGTGATCTAGAGAGAGAAATGATTAACTAGTTTGTACCATTTGTGATCTATAGAGAGAGAAATGTTTGTACCACTTGTGATCTAGAGAGAGAGAAATGTTTAACTAGTTTGGACCACATGTGATCTATATAGAGAGAAATGTTTTAAAAGGCATATGGATTACATGGTCATATGGTCAACATTAGGCATACATGTAGTGGTTTAGGGTTTATATTGTTATAATACTAGTTGAGAGGGGGGGGGGGGTCGCATACATGACATGCCTTACCTATCCTATTATGTCTAGAGAACGGGGTCATATATGAACCATTTTAAATAAAGGTAGGGCCATACCTATCCTACAGTCAGTGCTGGCGCCAGGTTATTTAGTGCCCTAGGCAAAATTTAATAAAACGTCCCTTTCCACACACATTAATTACTAAAGCATACGAAAACAATTTATGAAAAGTGACATACTAAGAATTAATTCATCATCAATTGCATACACGTTATAAGTAACCATCAAATTCAAATTTTACTTGCCTCCTTCGTCGCAAAAGTTTGTACTAATTCTTTCAATTCCAGTTTGCAAGTGCAATCACATTCTATAGAAATCGTTGCTAAGTCCACTTTGTACTTTACGACATAGCCCATCCCCCCCCCCCTCACTTTAGAAAATTTCAAGTGCTCCCCCCCCCCCCCTTCCCGGGAGAAATAAGTCTGGAAAAAAAACATTTTAAAAACCCAGCTGCTGATGTATTTGTTTTTCAACTTGATAAAGCAAGAAAACCTCCCAAAGGTGCAAGAATTTGAAATTAATGTAAACTAAAGCAGCGAAATATCTCCCATTTTCAAAAATCCAACCATTTTATTCAAGGGAAATAACTTTCATAAGAATAGCTAAACTAACCAAGTGTAACTAAGACTTGCTAGAAAAACACGATAAAACGATTCAAATTTTATTACTTAATATTTATAAGAAATCTTTTATTTTACCTATGCAATTTTGTCAACATAATATATATTTACCAATTGACTACTAAACTGTAAGTTTTGCTTGAAAGTCTAAACACGGTAGCTTTATTATAACATACTTATAGACAATCTTGATGGCATTCATTTGTATTTACTTCTGATTGCTGACAATTACAATTAAATAATTTTTGGGACCTTATGAATCAAATACAATTTGTATATGCTGATGAATTTATTTCTATTTGAAAATAAAAGTATTAAAAAAAAAAAAAAATGAATCAAATATCACAGAAATAGAAATCTTAACACCTATCTACAACACACTAACAATAACAATTTACTTTTTAGTAGGCTAAATGTTTTTTTATAATCATTCATATTTTATGCTTTCAGTGTAACTGTAAGTGACATTGTATCAACCTTATTTAACTTCTGTAAAGAAATGTAAACAATAAGACTTTACTTGCTTGTAACATTGAAACATTAGTTATTTTTTTAAATTTATTTTATTTTTTTATGTACCACTGAAAATGTGACATTCTGGCTGATTAAAAAAACCTTACTCTAAAATATAATAATTATTTCTTGTTACATGTACTTTCTATTCAAGAAAAATCTCTATAAAAATGACTAAAATACGGTTTAAGTCAATCTTTGAATGGCACGGTTTTGTTTCAGTGTTTCTTGACGACCAGCCAGTTGGCTCTCCACTTTGTCAGCAAGTCCTGGGTTGGTAAAATATTCTGCAGCAAATTCTCTAATGCTTTCTGGTCGCTTTGTGAGGACATCACTTAAAAATCCAGCAATCAAACACTCTACTTCAGGGTGATCTCTTAAATATTAAATATTTAAAAATTTTCATTGCCGATTCTTGTTTTCACCTTAAATTGATTAAGGTCCGCTTGCTGAGCATGACTTAAACCACCAAGATCATCATGTCCACCTAAATCATTACTATTACAATAGGGCAGGTATATTTAATGTGTTACACTGGAGAGTGAGACAGACTCCACAGAATCTCATGTTATTGACTTGAAAAATTTGCTTCTGTGCATTGAATGTCATTTATATCTGTTGTATACTTTAATTTGTTAGGTGATGGTGTTTAAGTGACTGCTTCTCTCTCTTCTTCCCCAATGAGCCATACAAAAATTAATTTAAGTTTGTTTTAAGTACTGGTATAAAAATACTTTTACTTCGAATAGTCTTATAATTCCTTACAATAAGGACATCCTAATTTATTCTTCACATTAGCATAGTAACTTTTAGCTCATCCATTCATAATTTTATTATCATCTTTATTTGTTATTGAATGTTGTCTTTAATTAAGATTATGCATTGATAATGACAAAAATATTTTTTGTGTTAAACATTAAACACTTAAAATCTAAAAAAAAAAAAAAAAAAAAAAAAAAAAAAAAAAAAAAAAAAAAACTTATGAATCAAATATGTGAACTGATTAGTTAAGACATTGCCATAATTTTTGTTTAATCTAAAATTTATAATTTGAAAAAAAAAATTACGGTTACATGCAACCTATATAATATTATATATTAATACTTTAAGAGTGGTAATATAGATTCCTAAAAAACTAAAGATTATTCAGTTATAGAACGCCTACCTTTCTACGCAGTGTGTTCCGTCTTGAATTGAAATTATCTGACTTACGATAAACTCGACTACTCGATATACTCTGCTACATTCACAACACATATCAAACTTCGATACCTAAACAAAACTAGATTCGATGCTCCAGAACTACGACACCACCTCGATTGACTTCACCAAACTCTACAAGCGATACCCCCAATCAACAAAGATTTAACTGGACCTACTACTTCACGATAACAGTCAACACTCTTCGATACCTGAATACCGCAAGGCTCGATATTCCCGAACTCCAGAACTACGATATCTTTACAAAACTCTATACACCAGAACAGATTTATAAATCAAAGGCAGAGAAAACAAGACTTACAAGCCATATTAAAAACCAAAATCATGTGTGTTGGAACGCCCCGTCATGCGCTGGAGCGATCAATCAGTCAACATTAAAATTAGATAACGTTTGAAATGTCCGATATGTAAATTACGGACTGATTTAATCGTTTTCTACATCAATTAAGTGACACCAAACTAAAAAGGTAAAGCGACTGGTAAAAAAGGGAGGTGGGGTTGTATTCTCACCATCGCGAATAAATATATCCCTATTTAGGCCTAATTTGTGGGTGGGGGCGTAAAATTAATAGTCCGTCCTGGGCGCCGAAATAGATCGCTACTCCATAGTATATTACCATCCTTAGTTTATAAAAGATAATCAAAGATTTTAATTATTAGGTACTTTTTTGATAATAGCGATTAAACCTTTTTGCGCCCCCCCCCCCCCTAGGGAAGGCGCCCTAGGCGACCGCCTAGTTCGCCTTATAGGTAGAGCCGGCCCTGCCTACAATGTCTACAGGACAGAGTCCTATCAGTACAGATATTATTGTAGGACGGGTCCTACCTACTTCACCATTTATAAATGACGAATTCTACAGCCCCCCTCTCCGGGACGAGTTTTACATGGTCCACTGTTATACAGAAGGGACCTACCTACTTCACTATCTATACAAGACAGGTCCTACCTCCTCAATCATTTATAAAGGACGGGTCCAACACCCCCTTCCATTTATAGATTAAGGGTTCTCCCAAACTATTTATACAGGACGGGTCCTACACCCCACTACTTATACAGAACATGCCCTACACCCCACTACTTACACAGGACGGGTCCTACCTGTCCCCCTTTCGTTGTCCCACCACGGCATACAGATGGGGTCCTGCTTGTAGGTTAGGACCAGCTCCTCTCCGTGAATACACAACAGTCCCCCTCCTGCGTACACCATAGACGCCGTGATGATCAAGTAGGCAATCTTTCGGCAAGACTTGCGCCACACTGCCTGAAATATATGTGATAACACAACAAGTAGGCAATCTTTCGGCAAGATTTGCGCCACACGGCCTGAAATATATGTGATAACACAAGTAGGCAATCTTTCGGCAAGATTTACGCCACACCGCCTAAAAAACATATGTGATAACACAAGTAGGCAATCTTTCGGCAAGATTTACGCCACACTGACTGAAACATGTGATAACACAACAAAGTAGGAAATCTTTCGGCAAGATTTACGCCACACCGCCTAAAACATATGTGATAACACAAGTAGGCAATCTTTCGGCAAGATTTACGCCACACCGCCTAAAAAACATCTATATATATAATTCTCTTCTGGGAGACGCTAGAAAACAAGCTGTAAGCGCGCTCCCTACCACCCCACCCTTACATGGTCTGTAGGGTAGGGGTTGGGGGAAAGGAGGGTGGGGGTAGTATCGTTCTTAACGACCGACTGATAGTGTTTTGAAGCAAATATTTTCAGTGGCAGCATTGGTACTGTCGAATTCACAAATTACTGAAAAGTAGAAAATAAAACAACTAAATTGCGGTGTATGATATGCCGCGGGTCGGCTCGTATGTGATAACACAAGTAGGCAATCTTTTGGCAAGATTTGCGCCACACTAATTTCCATAACAAAAAAAAATTACCATAACAACAGCGGTTACCATAACAACAGCGGTTGCCATAGCGAAGGTTTAAAAAAACGTTATTTTATCAAAACAAAAGTATATAACATCACTCGTAAATTTTTATTTAAAAAAATACTTGTATCATATTAATGAATCGTGTCGGTGTTCTTCTCTGTTTGTGCATATTGTGTATTTATATGTGTGTAAGTGTGTGTAACAATGTGTTGTATATCAGAGCAGACACGGAAGGGGTGGGGGTGCGAAGGATTTAACGGGTAATATTACTTGTGTAGTCTACGTAAAATTTAATAACTTCATATTACACATATGATAGGGATGTGTTAAACAATGCGTATCAGATCCGTGCGAACGTACTGTTGTGTCTTCTTCTTCGTTCTTAATTTTTAGTGTTGGGAGGAATCGAGGGTTTGAACTCGAGACTTTTTTCGAATTTATCAACCATGAGCTTTGCCGACTCGTCATGCTTCCAACACAATTAAGGATTACGTGTCAACTGGTTATGCGCCATTGAGGCCATTGACTCCGATTTCAGCCTGCTTTTCTTTTGGGATTTACTTCCATAGCCTTTGTCCAACCAAGAACAAACTACAAGGCAGCAGTTGTTTAATTTTGGAGTTGTCTCTCCTAGAAGAGTGGCTGTCCCAAGCTAACGTCTGCCCGAGGGTTCGAACTCGAGACTTTTCGGTTTAGCAACCATGAGCTTTACCGACTCGACCACGCCGACCCCTTTGTGTTAAATGATGCTTATCAGATGCTTACCCACACAGATTCCGGTCTGCCTATAGTTACCGCCCTTTCTAAGATCATCAAGATGAGCAGGTTGGAGGTTGATATCATGGCACTGTTGTGGGCCCACAGAAGGAGGAAGCACGAATACAGCTAGGGGAGACAACGCGAAATGTACAGAATTAAATAAAGCAAGAAATATTCCAAACAGCTTTCTGATCTACACTAATTTATTTTTAGCATGCTTATATTATTACATTCTCGATCATGGTTATTAAACTGTGTGTGGTTCTAAAAAAAAAAACTTTTATATTTGTTGAGAAACGAAGTTTTGTATATTTTTGTGAAAAACAATGACAAATTAAAGGGAAACAATTTAGTAATTCTAAATCCTTGATTATTTTACAGAGTTATTTCCCTTGCACCGACTTTTAATTAATCCTACGTTATGTTGAAATTTTTTATATTTTTTTATTTATTATTAAGAGTAAAATAAAAATGCTTTAAATATTTAAAAACAAAAGGGGAAAAAAATCAGCAAAATGCTTTCGAATTCGATTCTAAGTACAATGCACTCAAGAAATTAAAAACTGTAATGAAAAAAGCTGTGAGCCAGAGAAGCGCAGTAGCGAAAAGATGCTCTACCCCTCGACCACTCACTCACCTGTGATACATTCAGGTGGAAGCCCACGAACTGGACCAGCCAGACGTACCAGGGGCCGGTCAGGATCAGGATGAGATGGCACCTCAGGTATATCAGCATGCAGGGCTGTGTGATGAGGTTACGCAGGAAGATGGACTGCAACAGAGACAACAGGTTGCTGTTGTGTCTTCTCTAGCAGGTAACGGTGGTGCTAGCTGCTAACTTACATTGTTATCTCATATATATATATATACTAGCTGCATCCAGTGCTCCGCCACGGTAAATCTTTTTTAAATGAACCAATTTGGGAACAGAACAAAACTAAACACAACACAAACGAACGCAAAAAAAAAAAACAAAAAAAAAAAAAAAAACGAAAAAACAAACACAACACTCATAACATAAACACAATTTAAATGCAATCATAAAGGCATATTGCTCACAGTATAGCCCGTAGCGCCAAATCGCGCCCTTTCCGGTGATTTGCACCCCCCTCAAACTTTCGATTTGCACCCCTGTCCCCCCCCCCCCGCCCTAAAACTTTCGATTTCCACCCCCCCCCCCCCCTCGCAAATTTTTTCCAACCCAATTTGGCGCCCCCTAAGGTCGGCACCCGGGGACATATGCCCTCCCCTCGCTACGTCTCTCCTATAAAACCCCTAGCTTGTCCTCAAACCGAAAGATAGAATAATAATTAGTAAACAGTATAAATAATAGGCAGTATTTAAAATATCCGTGTTTTACCTACAATATTTCACTTTATCCATTCACGCATTTTTTTTCCAGTACTTTAAATTTTAAAAATTTACAATAGAGTTTCATAACTAAAACCATTGCGCACCTAATGAACGTGATGACGCGTCTATAATAGTGCTGAATAGTTGATTAAAAATTATAAGTAATAAACAGAAGGGCCTACATTCAGTGAATAAAATAAATAAAAAATTGCCTTTTATCAATCCATGCTAATTATAATTTTCTAACAATAATTTCCTCTTACACATCCACATAATTTGCATTCACATTTTGCTAATTATATTATTGCAACACTATTTCCTTCTATGACGAACGTATATTTGCTTTCACATTTTTTATTAGCGTGAGTTTAATGTATTTTTAAATTACCTCCTTTGTCAAAATTAGAAAAGAGTTAAATTCATTTGATTTTTCTAACCTACAGTTATTATGTTATTAAAATGTATCCACTTTTTCTAGGAATATTAACGAAAACTATATTTGACATTGATCCTTTTAATATGTTTTAGCAATGTGCGTGTATTTAATATTCTCTTTACGTTATGCAAAATTGTACAGTGGAAATTATAAAATAGCTCTATGCCGCTATATAAACAAACCCTACTCTAATACTTATAATAAGACACTGCGGTGCACTGAAAAGCACAGCATGGTGCGTAGTTTACTTTTATAGTCCCAAAATCTATAGCGATGACGGACGGACGGACGGAAGGAAGGAAGGAAGGACAGACACAGCCCGCTTATATTATAGATATATATAGATATATATATATATATATATATATATATATATATATATATATATATATATATATATATATATATATATATATATATATATATATATATATATATCAAATAAAAGTTTATCCTAACTTTCATGAGTGTATATTTCTTTTGGGGAGTTCATTAAGAGAAAAACAACAATATATATTACAATCAAGAACCAAATGAAGAAAGAAACATATCAATAATTGACATTACGTTTGTTGGCTGATTACTTGACTTACCTGAAAGACCCATTTGGAGAAACAGACACCCGAAAGACCCATATGGAGAAACTGACTTACCTGAAAAACCTATATGAAGAAACTGACTTACCCTAAAGACCCATAAGGCGAAACAAATGAGCGAGACGGTGAGCACCATGTAGAAGGGCATGTAGATGGACATCACGAGGTTGACCGTCTGACCCAGCCCCAGGGGGTTGGCGTAAAGCGCCTGCAGGTAGAATCTGACCCCCGGGTCTGCTGTAGTCTTTTCCTCCAGGGGAAGGTACACGTCTACCTGGTAGCGGGCCATCGTGACCCAGCTAGGCGGTCAGCTCCTGGGATCAGAGAGTTGATAGGATGAGAACAATGTTCCCTCTAAGCTGCGCGGTTGCGCGGCCGCGCAGAAGTTGTGAGCGTCCGCGCAGTGATTTTGTAAGATAAATATATCCGTGTATAAGACTTTTAGGACAGCACGCACAGAAAATACATTTTGCACGCTAGATTTTCTCCCTTAGAGGGAACGTTGGATGAGAATATTTGGCAAAGTCCCACATCTCACGATGGCACGTTGTAAAAGAAAAAGTAAAGTTCTTCTTCTTCTTCGTTCTTAATTATTAGTGTTGAAGGGGATCGAAATTTATCTGCCAGTGGGTTTGAACTCGACACTTTGTTCGAATTTATAAACCATGAGCTTTTTGCCGACTCGACCACGCCTCCATTACAATTAAGCGTTACGTGTCAACTGGTTATGCGCCATTGAGGCCACTGAGTCCGACTTCAGTCTGCTTTTCTTTTTTGGATTTGCTTCCATAGCCTTTGTCCAACCAAGAACAAACTACAAGGCAGCAGTTGTTTAATTTTGGAGTTGTCTCTCCTAGAAGAGTGGCTATCCCCAGCTAACGAGCCACATCTGCCCGAGGGTTCGAATCGAACTCGAGACTTTTCGGTTTAGCAACCATGAGCTTTACCGACTCGACCACGCCGACCCCTAGTAAAGTTCGATTTCAAACCTGACGGTCTATGGTGCAAGTGAAGTAGAGTTAACCTGTTTTTTTTGTGTGACCTCAACGTATGAAGAGATAGTGTGATCAGCACTATGCCCATCCGCCTTAACTTTCCCTTAAATGTGAGTTAGGTACCCATCAGAGCTGGGTGGACTCCGGGACTGACTTGAACCGGGATTCGAACTCGAGACTTTAGGGTCAGCAGTCTAGTGCTCTACCGCTAGGACACTCCGTCCCAAGGTTGTACATTGGAGGAAAATGTCAATATGCGGTTGTGACATATTGTCAACTTGAAAATATTTAACAGTGTCAGATTTCAGCTAACTGAATTGGACTTTTGTTTATTATTATCATATTTTTGCGGCGCCGACTAAAACGCAAATGTCTTTTACTCGTTTTATTAAATTTAATTTAAAAGAAAAACTATTGAGTCAGCATTGTGCACTATGTTGGCTAGCAAAGTTTTGACAAATGATGCTTACATCTAGGGCTGTCTAGAGTCGAGTCTAGTCTAGATTCTAGACAAGTCTAGACGCGTAACTAAAGTAGTCATAGTAAACATAACTGAATAATAAATTTAAAAGCTACATATTTGTACCGAATAAATTAGCAATCCCCTGTGGCCTTTACTATAAAACGCTACACTGACTAGCATTGTATGATAAGAACCATCCATCTTGATGTGTCTGTGGCGCTAGAACCATTTTGTAATGTAGAACTGCGGCCATTGATCATGTTGATACAAACAACCACACAGGAATGGAACAGCGCGAACGAATGCGTCCCAGAGGAAATTCCCGGACGCGCCGTGTGTAAGTGTAAAATTTTGAAGACTAATAGATTTTGGTTGTTATTTATTCTCCTATCTAACTTATACTGATGTTAAGTCTAATATTGTGACAATTAAAACATTAAAAGTTTTCTTTTAGCGATTTTATTAGTTAATATTACTTCGCAACAATTTAGTTTTTTTTTTAACTATCATATTTTTTACAAGATTAAAAGTCATGGAATTCGTTCATTATTTGTAATCCAACGCTGATTTTTTTTTTTGGCTGTTATCAAAAACTGATATTTCATTAAGTTGTAGTATTTTTTTTCCAATTTGTATAGTTTGTTTATTTTGTAAGCTATGTTGTTAGGAATTCGAAAAATTGTACTTCGGAATTTTTTTTTCCCCACATCGTTACGGGAAAAAAAGAGATTTTAAAATTTTTACTTTTTAAAATTTACGAATCACAAATAACGCAAAATAAAATATTTTTATAACGGTATCGAAAGCATTGTGCGCTCCCATACCACACACCCATACACCGCTTCCATTGAACAGAGCCTTTTTTTTTTATCTTGGTACCATCAACTTTTCTCGATAGTGCTCTGAAACGTTTACACCTGCTTCAGTTAGAGTTATCTCCACCAATGCCGGGTACCCACGACAACTGAGCGGGCTCGAGGAATCGTCACATTCTTTACAAATACAGTATTCGATACCCGCAATCCTTGGTCTGGAGTACGATTACGTTTTCCTGGGCAGCAAACGGCGGTTCAAATCCTTCGTTTCACGCTCCACTGCGCACGCCGGCAGCAGAATCCCAGAGAAGGAACTCGAAGCCGTTCGACTCGCCTTGTCACCCTACAAACACATGATGCGGAGTCACTGACTCGAGACGGTGACTCCAATCCTTTCATTTCTTGACGCACACTTTCGAAAAAAATATAACATGGCCTTCCTTGTCAAAAAATTGTGAGGAGCAAGTAACAGACTTGAATATTGTAATTTTTTAAAAGAAAGATCAATGCTGAAAATTGGGAAGAAAATATATATTTAAAAAAAAAAAAAAGGCAATATTTTTACGTAGCCCTAATGGTAAGCTGAAGTAGACCTTTGGTCGAAACTTTAATATTTTTGCCCGAGAGCAGAACTTGCTGAACCTAGTTTATATTAGTAGTCACACTATTCACTCAAAATGTTAATTTTATTGCTAACACTGTTTTTGTTTTTATTATGTAAGTTATTTGAGATCATAGTTTACAAAAAAATCCGAGAGAAGAAACTAAGTATCTGTAAGTATATCGTAATTAACTTGACACAGGGTTTAATGTTTGTGAGTATTTTTAGGTTTTTTGTTGCCTACATAACGATTTTGTATTTCTAAGTACTCTGTCCGTTTGATATGTTTAGCTAGTTTCGCTATGGTAAAACTAACTATCGTCTAAACATGAAGTCTAGTCTATCGATTTTTCGAATTATATCTCCATTCCTAGAATATGAAAACGTCTCGATTCTAAACTGTATCGAATTTCTCCACTAATTTCATTAAGCCAACCAATTCAATAAAATACGTATTCTCCCCCCCCCCTTTTTTTTTTAACAAAGGCCTATAGCAATACAACAATACAAGTTCAAAAGATAGGAAAAATAAAAAAATAAAATTTCTATTGTTAATTAAGTTTACCGAAATATATTGTATTCGATTACTTTTCTCTTAATACAATTTCAAAAGATAGGGAAAAAAATAAAATTTCTATTTTTAATGAAGTTTACCGAAATATTTTTCTCGATTACTTTTCTCTCATTACGCGCCTCCCGTTCTCCCTTCTCCACATTTCCTTTTCTTACACCCTAATCTTTGCCCTTTCCCCCTCTCCATCGGATTGCTCCAGTCCCTCAGGGGAGACTACTCCCATGTTTCACTGCCCAGTCGCCCAGACAGAATCCATTTTTTACCCCTGGCCGAATCCAAATAATAAATGCCCCCCCCCTCCCCACATTCCCCCCCCCCCCCACCCTCGTGTCCTTCAGCCTGCAAGTGGAAGTTTCGCCTACAACTCCAGGCACACCAAAGTGAATTAATGTCTTTTTCCGACGGGGCCGGAACTGGGGTGCGCCAGAGGGGACGTAACTGCCCCCGGTCCCAGCCACCTTCCCGACCCCCGGTTTCGTTTCAGTGGGGATCCCCGAACCCCACGACCAAGGGGGTCGAGGGGGTTGTTTTAATTGAGTTTTCCCGATTGCATAACGCTGCTAAATGTAAGATTTATTCGTTTTTTTTTTTCTTTTTTTCGGACGACGAACGGAAACCACCGAACCACGATCTTGAAACAAAACCCTGAAACCACATTGTGCTTGGCCAGAACTTTACGTGTCGAATCATAATTAGATCCTGTATCATGAATTCAGCATTGATATCCCGACTGTACTTTATGATATATATATATATATATATATATATATATATATATATATATATATATATATATATATATATATATATATAATGTGTATGTGTGTTGTGTGTGTGTGTTTCTGTGTGTGTCTATATACAACCCCTGGGTCTCTATGGGAATATGTATGTGAAGTACACTTCCCATACTGTTTTAACATTAAGTGTGAAGTAGTTTGGCTAAATAGCTCGCCAACTTTGTGTTTTGATTGCTTTTATTCACCCCCACCCCCACCCCCTCCCCAACCTTACACGTGGGTTGTTGATTACGCCTCACGCCGGTACATATAACAATTACACTCCCTCCCCCACCCACACCCCAGACGCCTGGTGGTGCCATGTCTCTGGCCAATCAAAACGCGGCAACACAATCTCCCCCCCCCCCCTCCACCCCCACCCCCCACCCTAAACAAGTACTAGATGGATGACTTACACGAGCTTGGGTAAATACAAACCGTGGACGAATCAATCCATCAGACACAACATTTATCGATCTCCAAAAAATAAAAAATTGGAATCCCCAGTTTTAAAAAAAGTAAACAATATCCCTCACAAGTAAACTGTGTAGCCGTAAGGGAGGTGTGAGTAGGGGTGTGAGGGGTGTACCACAACTGGGGTATAATTCGCGAGGCTGGAATACACACCTCCTATTTTCTTCCACTCTGTTTAAAAAAAAATCATCGTCCGTTGTTTTGAACCTTAGATGGTAAGGCGATCCCAGAGGCTGGTTCCATGAACGAAGAACCTGCAGACGTTCGATGCCAGAGAGGGGGTGACAGATCGTCCAAGATCGTCTGCTTGGTGTTTTAAAACAAAAACCTCATGGGCTGGCCACGTCATGTGAGTTTGTCGAACGATTAGAGTGTATTGCTGCTGAGATGGATGGCCTTGAACTTGCATCTTTTGTCCCTGCTGTTCTTTGTTTGGCCCAGGAGAAATGCCAGGTGTAGGGTGACTTTTGAGGACTGATATTTACTGCTGGTGGTATCTACATATACATACTTTATATATATATATATATATATATATATATATATATATATATATATATATATATATATATATATATATATATATATATATATATACGTGTGTGTGTGCTTGTATGTGTTTGTGTGTGTATTTTTGTGTGTAATCTTGATGGCCTAGTAAGGGTTAGAGTTCAGACTAACCCAGTTTATTTCAAGACTGATGATATCACCCCACACAGAATCCAAGAATACATCCATCAAACCAATTATATCTCACCATAGATACAATATCCCACACATAATCCAATAGTACATCCATCAAACCAATTATATCTCACCATAGATACAATATCCCACACATAATCCAATAGTACATCCATCAAACCAATTATATCTCACCATAGATACAATATCCCACACATAATCCAATAGTACATCCATCAAACCAATTATATCTCACCATAAATACAATATCCCACACATAACCCAGTAATACATCCATCAAACCAATATCTCACCATAAATACAATATCCCACACAGAATCCAACAATACATCCATCAAACCAATTATATCTCACCATAGATACAATATCCCACAAATAATCCAATAGTACATCCATCAAACCAATTATATCTCACCATAAATACAATATCCCACACATAACCCAGTAATACATTTATCAAACCAATTATATTTCACCATAAATACAATATCCCACACATAATCCAATAATATATTCATCAACCACACCAAATCCATCAAAACCCACATCAATCCTAAACGTAATCCAAGTATATAACCATCATCCAACATATAACCCTAGAAAATATCCATCATCCCACACATAATCCAACAACATATCCATCATCCCACACATAATCCAACACTATTCCTCAAAGAATTCAGAACAAAAACTTGGAACGACAGAACCAATAATTTTTCCGGCACACGAAAATGTCTATTGTAATATTCTCTCTCTCTCTCTCCCCCTCCCCCCCCCCCTCTCTCTCTTTCTCTCTCTCTCTCTCTCTCTCTACGTCTCTCTCTGCAACTAGTGCCAACTTTCTGCTGTAGGCTGGAAAAAATCGATTCCAAGAAATTACATAGACAAAATCGATTCCTAGAAATTACATAGACAAGTTCGATTCTTAGCAATGGCATACAGAAGTTGATTTTAGGCAATTAGATAGACGAGGCCGCCTGGTCGGTTGGTAGAGGTTACAAAGGCTCAACGCTAAGCGTCGAGTTCGTATCCTGAGCCCGATTATGTAGGACAATCGTTACTCCATCCGGCTCTAATAGGCAACTCACACTAGGTAAACAAAGGCGGCAGAGCACATACCTCCACACATGCCGAGGAAATTAAAACAGATGAACTCTACTGCATCTACCGAGTTTGTGCAAACGGAAAAAGACCATGATGGAGTAGTGAGAGTAAATTAATTTTTACATCGCATATCATTGTATAATACCCAGAGCAGGTTGAAACAGGCATAAACTTTACTTGTCCTCTAATAACCATTGGCTAACTCGAAGCATCAAAT